TGATACATTGAGCCTCAAGTCTAAACTGGATTTGGAGAAGAAACTTTAAGAACTCCAAGTAACTAGATTGGTTGCAATTTTCTTGGAGAGCAAAATAGGCGACAGTAAGACATTGCATTTACGAGGATTTTTTGAGTGAAAGATCAACAAGAAACTGATCAAGCATACTCCTATACTTCCCAAAGCAGGTTTGGGAGTAGTTGTGGCGTGAACAGCTATTGGAGCAGTAGTTTTGCGAATTGCCTGGAAGTGGCAAGTCGACTTAGTATCACGGCAACTAGCAGTTAATTGTGTATCTATATGCCTACTCCAATATTCCCAATAGCAGTACCAGGAGTGGTTGTGGCAACTCCGGATTCGGGAGCAGGGGTTCTACGAATAGTCTGCAAATCGCATATGAAGTTAAGCTCGATCATTAATGGTAAAACATAATGAAGCAGTGATGCTGATAGATGATCCTACAGCAATATTTCCCAACACCGATTTTGGGGTAGTGGTGGCAAAATCGGCTTCAGGAGCCGGTGTTCGGCGGATTGCCTGGAAGAAGGTGCTGACATAGAGTCACCCCATTATTGGAAAAATTAGCACAGCCTTATGCGCCTACTGCGATGTTTTCCATACTAGTTGCAGGAGTGGTTGTAGCAACTCCGGATTCGGGAGCAGGAGTACTACGAATGGTCTAAAGTTAACGAATAACTCCCGACTGCCGTGCCTTCGTTATTGAACTATGAACAATTAGCGTACTCCAACATTCTCCAAAGCAGATTTGGGTGTGGTTGTAGCAAAAGCGGCTTCTGGAGCCGTAGTCTTACGAATTGCCTGGAAATGACAGAGAAGCTCAGTGCCAATTTGTTAAAGCTGCGAAGAAGCTGTGAAGAATTTGGTAGCTGAGTCAGTTAAGGAGTGAAAGGCAACCACCACAAAATGCATGGTTACGCAGAAGCAAAGTTAGCCTACTCCAACATTCTCCACGGCGGAACCTGGCGTTGTTGTGGCACGCCCAAATTCGGGAACTGAGCTTCTACGAATTGCCTGGAAATCATAAGAGCCCTTGAAAATTTCACTATTGTAAGATAGCACTTTCAAGTTGGACTGTGAGCCAGAGTGCATGAAAACACTGAGGAACTCGTTAGAAGGATGCAAAATTAGCCTACTCCGACATTTTCCACTACAGAACGAGTTGTTGTGGCAAGTCCATGTTCAGGGGCAGGAGTTCTACGAATTGCCTGTAATGGCAAAGGGTCTTTAAAATTACAACATCGTTTATCAGCGTCATGAAGCGTATAGAGAGGAGAAGGAGTCACTTAGAAAGTTTTAAAAAATTAAGACGTTAGCCTACTCCGACATTTTCCACAGCAGAACCAGGGGTTGTGGTGGCAACCCCATATTCAGGGGCAG